ATCCAGTACTGTGCTCGAACTGTTGCCATCGTGTGTTCGATGCCTTGGTGGTAATCCCCATGTGCTTCGTTGATAATAAGAGCAGCTAGCGGAGTTTTTGGATGGATGAATATGGGGCTCTTTGCTTGTTGGTTCAATGCGGAGTTTCCAACTCGTCCTCTTGAGCACCATATATCGTCATCATTTTTGAAGAGTCGTAGCGTATTTTGTATGTTTTTACAGTATTCGCTCGTATTGTGTACTGCCTGATGGTTTCGGACGATAATTCGTTTAGCTGCTGCGATGGCATTCCCGCTGAGAGTGCCTAGTGACTTGGCTGAATCTTTGAGTTCTCTGATGCTGTCGGCGATGGCATTTTTGCGGTTTTCAGGTAGTGCGTTCATTAACTTCTTGATGAACAGCATCAGCAGCGCTGCTACTCTTTTTGCTCTTTGAAATGAGCTGAATCTTTTCAAATCCTAATATAGGGGCTATTGCAGCGGGTGTTCATGTGCGCAGGTATTGCGATGATAGTTCTTGAGCCTAGAAACGTTTCCTTCATGGTGTTTAGTTCAAATTTGTAGGTAAGTCCAGCCCAGTCTTTGATGGGATGGCGTGGAATTTTGGTCCCTTCCACCACATGTGCTCTGATAGTTGTGCTTTTGTCAAACCCCGCGTCCCTGCGTCGGCTGGATTATCAGTTGTCTTTACGAAAGAAAAATGAACTGAAACTGATGCCGCATTGAGAGTTTCCATTATATTGCGTATTTCCTTAGGTAGGTTACTTAACAACACCCCGACATTTGTGCAGTTCAGTGATGTAGGTAGCCATGTCAGCACAGTTTGAGAATCTGAGAAGATGAATGTCAAAGGGTCTATGAGTTAAGCTGCTTTCAAGTGCTTTAATATGGAACGCGCCAAGCGCACAGCTATGGTGATTGCGTTCATTTCCATTTTTGGGATTGTGGTGTTTGCGTGTAGAGAAGGTAATTTGCATTTCGCCATAACTAATGTTGAGTCTCTCTCCTTGAAAAGATAAGCGCATGTGGACATAGCCATGGCACTTGCGTCTGCGAAGATTGCCAGGCCGCAATGATTGTCGTCATTCATGAATTTTCTCTCGAATGATTTTTCGAAACCATGAACGTCGGAAGTGAGCGTTTCCCATTCTTTTTGTACTTGTAGTGGAAATACCGTTCCCATGCGTATTTGTGCCTGCAAAGATCTTGTTGGAATCGTATTGGGTAAGTAAGGGTACCATCCTACCCAAAGGGATCATATATGGAGGCTATTTGTCGCGCCACGCGTTTCGTTAGACTGGTTGTCTTAGGAATATCACAGCGGATAAAAAGTGTATCGTTTACACTGTTCCATTTTATGCCGAGTACTTTCTGAGTCCTGGATTTGGCGCATGCGTCATCTGGCAACGCTGTAGTGATATCCGCATCTGTTAGAGAGGAATTCCCGTAAGTTCATGCTCATATCGTTGAAAATTTTCCTAGCGTTTATGGATTTGCTTATTGCGTCACCTTTTGTTTCGGCAGTCAACAAAAGGTTGTGCACATACAAATTTTCGCGAATCTCATCTCCGAGTTGAGTGTCAGCTTCCATATTTAAGTAATATTGTATGGTGGCTCTGAACAAGAATGGGGATACATTAAGCCCGAACGTTACTCTTGTAAAGCGGTACGTGGTAACATTATCTCCCTCGGGCTCCTTGTTGTAGTCTCGTACCCAGAAGAACCTTGTTACGTCTCTATCCTGATCGTGTAATGAGATTATAGGAATGCCTTTTCTACGTCCGAAGTTACCACGTATGAACCAACTAAATATGTATAGCAGGAGAAGGTCTGTAAGATCTGTGAAGTATTTGTGGTGTGATGAAGCATCGAAAACTATGCGCAGCTCGGTAGTCTCTTTCTTCGGTGTGATTACCGGTTGGTGTGGGATATAATGAGTGATGCTCGCTTCCTCATAGTCATGTTTTGGGACCTCCTCTATAATTTTCTTCTCCAGTGGTTCTGAAGGTGTTGCCATACCGAGCTAAAATTTGAGGTTGCGACTTCAGCATAGTTATGACACTGTTGAGGCGTTTCAGAGCGTTTGAGAGCTGAATCCATTGTCCAGTACTTATCCCAGCGTTGTAGTTCTCTTTCTTCTTCAGTTAGCGTTTTGATCATTGTGATCATGCTGGGTTGAGTGTTAAGGCTGTGCGTTGCATGAAGTTCATTTAATTGTTGTTTCCTCGTGAGAAGATATCCCAGCTCCGATGATATAAGCCTTAATCAAGCCTGATGGAAGCGTATAGTGTGGTGAAGAAACTTCTAATGAATCCCATAGCTGATCACAACCAAAAGAATTTTGTGGTTTACTTGTCGTACAGGCCGTGATATTAGAAAGCAGAATACGTCATTGCGTTATAAAGTCGATTTCTTCTTGCCCGAGCTGTTTAATTTGTCCTTTTCCGGTTAAGATTGGCGTTGAATACAGCCGCATTTTGTGCACTTCTCCCTTTGTTGTCCCACAATTCTATGGACGTCACCGCGCATTTTGCAATTTTCAGATTATTCGCCCCTAAAGGTATACTCCTAGGTTGGGGCGAAAGTTCCATACACTCGAGTCCTAGGTCCTTCGTTAATCTCTGGCTTATAAAGGACTGATCTGCGCCTGTGTTAAAAAGTATTTAAACTGATTGCAGTTCTTGCCGTTTTGTATTCCATATGTGCGCTACTACTCCGGTTAGGAGAAACACATTCTTCCTTGGTGTTCCTTGGTGTGACACCGTAAAGTTAGGATTACAGTCCGCCCGTGCCTTGTTTGTATCTTGTTCCCCTTGGCTTGTGGTAAAAAACTGGATCGGGTGCGCTTGCGTTTGTTTTTTGTGTTTGAGAATCTTGACTAGTCGGGGTAGGTAGAAATTGGTACGCTTGACCTCGTTAATGACTTGTCTCGCACCTATGATTCGAGGCATAATTAGCGAGGTGCGAAGCGACCTCATTAAGCCGAGGCACGTCGCGCTAACTTCGGCTGGCCCCGGTAAGAGGAGAAGTATTGAGCTATCCAGGCACGAATCCATTGAAAATTTTCGGTGAAGTGGGTAAAAAGGTTGCTATATATTCCAGCTATTCATTAGTTTATTATTATTAATTGAATATATTACATACATTCAATACAAAAACAAGTGTGCAAATCAAATAAATATGTATCATATAGTTTTGTTTGTAACAAAGACATCTTTCTGCAGTAGGACTCTATTTGGGCGCTTGATACTCCCTGCTGATAAAGCTCATTGAATCTGAAAATAATAATAGTCAGGATCACGGGCGGGGACTATGTACCCTGAAAGTTGTGTGGGGGGATAATGTGCGGTAGAATCTGATCCACGTAATACGAGGGTGCTGGTGTAGCGGCGGAATAAGATGTTGCTTCCTGACCGACGAAGTAGGATGTTCCCGGTGCTGGAGTAACGCAGTATGTTGGTTCCTGACCGACGAAGTGATAAGGTGCTAGTGCGGGAGGAAATGTGCATGGTGATACAGCAGGAATCAGGAATCAGCAGAATATAGTAATGCTGGATTAGTACTTGAATACATGGTAACACAAGGACTTGCTCACAACAACTCGCGTGTTTGCTTTCTACCTGTTAGCTTAAGTATCTGTTCATGACCTCTCGTTGAGGTGTTTGTTTGGCCAGAGGGCTCTCAAAGTGATAGAGAAGTCATTACCGGGCCAATATAGAAGGCCAGAGGGGCATTACCTGAACTAACCCGCCGAAGGCAGGCAATGAGATTCAGGCTGTATGCAAAAATGCACATTGTAAGCGTATGGGTTCCTACGAGACCTTCTTGAAGCTTCTTGTCATGAACTCTTGTATGATCGGATTTACATTTTTTTTCTATCTTACTTGAATATTGGTTAGTTAAAAGCTACGCATAATACCATTCTATTCAGTTTTTCAGGTAGCACTACCTTACCGTACCACTTTTTCGCGTAAGCCTTCACCTTAATCTTTTTTTTTCTTTTTCGTAAGCCTTAACCTTAATCTGTTGGGAGTTTTCACTCAATTTGTGCCGATTTTGAAAAGCTCGTGCCCGCCTCGGCTAACGTGCCTCGGCTTAATGAGGTCGCTTCGCACCTCGCTAATTATGCCTCGAATCATAGGTGCGAGACAAGTCATTAACGAGGTCAAGCGTACCAATTTCTACTGACCCTGACTAGTCTACTGTGTTGGCCCATGTTGTGTTTTGGCCCCTACCGGTTTTGTTGGCGTTTTTGGCGTGAACTGTTTCGCCTGGGATACATTTGTTTGCCTCCGAGGACATAATGCGTGAAAAGTGTTTCTTCCCTTGACAGTTTCTACATCCCTCTTTTGTGCAGTTTGATGCGAAATGACCTTCGCGCCCACAATTCAGGCACATGCCGTGTTCTTGTAGAAAATTGCGTCTTTCCGTGATGGTGCTGTAACGTGAACAGCTTGCAGTTCTGTGTTCTATTGACCCACAAAATGTGCAATTTTGGTTGTGTGATGTTTTTCCCTGGCTTCCCTTCTTGAAATCATTACAGCGTTCTGTATCCCTGTTGATGTCACTACTCACCATGCTGTTGATGCGCTCCTCCGTTGCTATTTGTGCGTCCAGGGCATCAACGATGCGTTGCATTTTCCATGCATTTTCCTGACATATCTTGGGTCGTTAGGTCCTCAAGGACCTTGCGCTGGATTCTAGGTGTAAACTTGGACAACACTTTTTGGGTGTTGTACGAGCCGTCCAGATTCACTTCTAATTTGTGTAGCTGCATAACCAGGGGAATGATATATTCCAGTAGCTTCCTTTGCCCTTGGGTCGAGGGTTTGTCTGCTTTCGCGTTGTCCAGGCGTTTCTGCAGTACCCTCACGAGTTCCGCCTTGTTGCCATACTTCTTTTTATGAGATCAATTGCCAACATATAATTGTCGTCTGTGACTGGGTATCGCTTTATTAGTTCACGAGCTCTCCCCGGAGCGCACTCAACAAATAGTTAAATTTTTGTAAATTGGTGAGCGAGTTTTGGTTATGGAACATTGTCTTGAAAAAGCGTCCAAAAGTTGTCATATTCCCATATTTTTCCATCGAAATTCGGGATGGGAATGGTAGGGAGCTTCGGTGGATTGGTTTCGTGCTGCCCTAATCCTTGCCCCTGTGTTCTCGGTGCGGGTGTCCTATCGGTGTGCATTACTTCCCGTATACTTATGCGTTTGGCTTCAAGTTCAATAGCTCAGCGCGATCAATTGCGGTATGTGCGTTTTCCATGTACTCTACGGCCTGATCTTCTTGTTCTTTGGTGAGCGAACCAGATAGTGAATCAACTGTACTCACAAATGTTGCTAAATGGTCGCTAAGTAATCGCGCTGTAGCTTGCAGCTCATACGCTAGTGAAGTTATGCGTTCAAAATCGCCGGTAGTGGAACTTGAAGAAAGCCTTTTTAATGTGCTATCTCCCTCGCATCTCTCGATTATTTCATTCAAGTTATTACAATATCGCGTTAAAAGGCCTTTTTGCGAGAAAAGTCTGATGGGGCCGGATTGTTGGACATTTTCTCCTTTTTTTTCAAAAGTTTTTGCGTGGAAACTTATGCGAATAGAAGGTGAAGAACAATGTGGAAAACTTATGTGAATAGAAACGGAAGGAAAAATTCGGGAAACTTATGCGAATGGAAACGAAGGAAAAATCTTATGCGTTGGTAGTTGGGAACTAACCTCTTCCTTTTCGCTTATAGCCGATGCACCAAATAAAGAGACTATCCACTTTAGCAATATATGCGTATAGTATAGTCGTGCCACGCGGTATAATTGTGTGTCGCTTTTACAACAGAGGGAACCGAACAAGCAATTTATATAAGGAAAACAGCCTTCTTCAACTGCAACAAGTTAAATTATAACAAAGTAGGTTATCGGAACAGACAAAGTAGGTTATCGGAAAAGAGCTTATGCGAGAGAGCTTATGCGTAGCAAGAATATCTAAAGAATACCCAAATGTGCCGTGAAGGCCGGGGGAGCGAGAAAAAAATGCGAAGACTGAAGACTTGGGGAGCTTCGGTCTCCTTATATATCCCCCTGGGGTCAAAGTCCAAAAACCACCCACTATACCCATAACGTCGATTTTCCCCTTACCGGTCGATAAATTTGCGTGCGCTTGCGTTGTGGTTTCGCTTTGCTATTCGATCGGTATATCGACCCCCACATGTGTTGTGGCTTGCAACCCAGAGTTGCAATACTGGGGCTGTTATACGGAGTCGTCTCTATGACCGAACCTGCCTAACCCCCTCATGCTCATCTCTTTGGAATGAGTGGAGATTGTAGCACCCCAGGAATCGTCTACGTCGCCAGAGGTCAAGCGTGCGGGAGGAATATGTGGGCGAAACAGGTTGTTTTCTCCTCCGGGGTGCTTCATTCTAAGCCAAGAAAGTATAAAAAAAACTACGCAAAAACATTAGCAGAGGGTTGTAGGGCTTAAAGAGCTCAATCAGATGAGTATTACGAATTCGGTCGAAAAGTAAAAAATTTTTGTAAGAAAGAAGAAGAAAGCAGTAGCGTCACGATTACGTAATATTCTGGAGAGAGAGAGTTATCACACTTAGGATATCATTTTATTGGGTCCACCCATGAGTGATGGCGTTTTTTCTCACTCGAAATATTGCGACAAAGGTGAAAAGTCTGCTTCTGAGTTTTTTATTTTTTTGTTCTGCAGAAAATTCCTTGCCCTCTACGATAGTCCTCATGATTTCTTCTAAGCTTCTCTTTCCTCTAATAGTCAAGTGCTCAAACTGCAGTGTCAGGTCGACTAGATTGAGCATTCTTAATAGCCCCTCTTTTTTACCACTAATCAAAAAGCTATAAGCGCACAGGCCCAGTTGCTAAGTATACTGTCAGGAAGCTATATATCTTAGGGATGCCAACAAGAGTACAAAAAATTCGAAGATTTTAATTTTGACTTACAAACAAGCATTGGACCAATGCTCTATTAAATCCGACTGAGGGGTGACTGTACCACCTTGGAATTTATGCCAAAGATGGGGAAACGTCAGACGTCGTGGAGCTTAGAAAAAGACCATCTTTCCTGGCTCATATAAGTCACAAGTTTTGAGCTTATTCTCTGCTTTGAGAGCTGAGATAAAGTGCAAAATGTTGTTGAAAACTCACTTTGTGTCAGCCCAGCTTTTCATTTCAATGAAATAAAGCTGACAGAAATCAAAAGATAGTAAGAAGCCACTCACACTATTCTATTAAATTGGCACATGAGCGGTTTTCTGTCATACAAATTTTTATATGGAAAATGACAATTGTTCCCAATATGTTCTACACTGTTTGATAGATAATTTTCCGCACTATAAGATAGTATAATTGCCTTCTTACTATTTCTCGACTTGTGTCGATTTTTATTTCATTGAAAGGGAAATTCGGGTCGACCCAAAAGTAAGTTTTCCGACAACCACCATGCTTCTCATGACAGCTCGAAGTTGGTTCAAAGCAATCAAGAGAAGGGAATTCGGACCTTGTAAAAGAGCGTCGCGTGGGGGGCCTTTTGGGGAGGGACTGCCTGCTGAACCCGTCCACTGAGTTTTGAACTTCCATTCTGGTGAAGGTGATGCTTAATTGTGATGAGGAATCACTCTAGACTTCTACTTGTTCCTCAATCTTGGTCAGGTTCACAGTTGATAAGGTAATTCCGTAAGCTCTCAGTTGGACAGAATAGGGCATTAGGTTCGATGCTTGTCTGTGAGGTCGAAACTGAAATCTTCGAATCACTCATCAGCCATATATTTAGCAACTGGGCGGACGCAACTTTTTAATAAGAGGCACAAAAGTTTGGCTGTCGAAAATGCTCAATTTCCTCGACATAACACTCCAGTTTCTGCACTTAACTATTAGTGAAAAGAGAAATTAGAAGACGGGGAAAAATGCTATTACTTATGGGCTGACCCAATATAAAGCGGAAAGTTGTCTATCTAATAGCGTAGAAAATATTGGGAACGATCCTCCCTCTTCATTTTAACAAAATTTGTGAGAAAGAAACGCTGTTACTCATGAGCCAACCCAATAGATTCCAATCGCTTCCAACTGAACTCCTTCTTAAGAGCTGTACCTTTCTGCTACCATTTCCGACGCTTTAGGCACCTGGCAGACAGGCATGCTTACAGAGATAGTTGCATACCGAGAACTTACACACAAAACTGGTGACTTGCCTAACAGATTCTGACATAATTCTTCCAAGGCTTAATGATCCTTTTTGTTCTCACCTCTCATCACTTCTTAAAAGATAAAATGATGAAGCCTCCGCCTTTTATTAGTCCCTTCATGGGGTGCGACACCCATTCTACTTCCCTCTAAGATCGTAGCGGCTTAAAGAATGCGATGGGGCCCATACAATGGCCAGCCAATGCACAAGTCAGTGTTCTTGCCCTTCCAGACGAATGCGGTACCGATTTGCAGTCCCCGGAGGGTAGAAGGCTCAGTTGGCCTGAATTGGAACCGACCCAGGATAACCCAGCTGGTAGCTGGAGGTGGTATATGGTAAGCGCGCCGCTTGCCACTAGACCTTTCTCACCTCACCTCTCCTCATCAGTTCTTATCGGCTTTAATTACATGATCGCCTTCTAGGATGCGTTGTGCCACGGTTGGGTGTGTTCACATGAAGAGTGTCTTCTGCAATCAATGTGATGGCAAAAGCACTGCATAATTTAACACGACTGTTTGTTCGTCGTTTGTTTGTTGTTTTGCTTGTCTGTTTGTCCGGAAATCCAGTACCACCTGAAAAATAATTTGGAAAGGTCTGGTCAAGATTGGGTTGGGTAGGAGAAGGAACCATTGAAACTTCATCTTCCGGCTTTGGGGCAGCACACAAATTTGGAAAGAACACCCGCTACGGACGAGCTTTTTAAGATGGGCTGTGCTTCACGAATTCCACGAAATCATGAAGTTGAGAAACTCGGTTCCCGAGAGACTTCAAAGATTGCAAAAAAGTACATGGAGAAGACAAGCATTCGGCGAGAGTTGGGCATACCTGCAATGGGTTCAAACCCGCCCACAGTATGCGAGGCATGCCCTCAAGTATGAGGTGCTCATTTCAAATTGCTGCACTTCAGTTCCGGAGCACAGGCAAAACTTGACAACTCACAAATCGGTTCCAGAGCAGCTGGCGATTCCAGTTATCAGCCTGGTCATTCGTGCTTTGTATGTTCAGTGGTTGGTCAACTGATACCCAGCTTTTCATGTGTTCGTTTTATCAACGCCTGTGCATGTATCCTTCCTAGACTTGTAGAAAGCATTCGATCGCGTTCCGCGTGGAGTTATATGGTACGCCTTCCTACAGCACGGCGTTCTTCAAGAGGCTGGTTAGGCCTCCTCCAGACGAGTGGGTACGCCTCCTTTATTCAAATCCAGAGAGAAAAGTTTGGGTACCTGCGGGAGCTTCTATGGTCTCTGCGCTCTCACATTCCTCTACTTTGTCGTTATCCATGCCATTTCACGAGATTCCCATTTCTCTAGGAAGAAATCCGCTGGGCCTTCTTTGTGCTCATTATTTGGTGATTGCCTGCGGACACAAAAAACGCTTCCCTTACGCAGAAGATACAAGCCTAAGCCGATCGCTGGCAAGGTTCGGGCACAAGTTGAACGTTAGAAAGACTTAGTACTTGATAACAGACCCAAACTAGAAGGGACTCATCAAAATAAATGGTGCTGATCACACTCCTAGAAATCTTCAAGCACCTCGGAACAGCAATAACGTTCGATGGAGCTATTATTCGGAAAAGAACGCACATGTGAGAGCAAGGCGATCGAAATGGCCATCCACACCTGGGGTTCTTCGCAACAACGAGATGCCAGAGCACCTTAAGCCGACAATCTACAGAAGGGTCGTTTCGCCTACGGTGTTTAGTGCTAGCCCGCGTAATGAAGTTGAAGGCCGTCTCCATGTGATGGAGATGAGAATGTTGCATTGGACGGCGAACGTCACGCATCTGAAGCGCATTTGTAAAGATGTAGTGCGCAGGGAATTCGGCATAGCTCTTTTAGTTGTCCAAAACGCCGCCCTTTTTCGTGCCATGTACTTCGCGCAGAGTTCACATGTCTACAAGACTTGCCATCCGAGGTGCTCAGCAAGCAAGCAAATGATGCTCCAGCAGCTCTGGCTACAAGTTACATACAAGTTTGAAATAAGCTTTGACCCACCGC